ATCAATAAATCGTATTTATCATGTATTAAAATATCGATCATAATTCTATTTATAGTGATCCAAGAACAGTGAAATTTGACACACCTTGCCATCTTCAGGCAATGCGAGGGCAGTTGCAAGGAGGGAGTAGCCAGTGAAAACGCCAATCTCCATTGTTTTCTTGGCATTCATCAGCTTCAAAAGCATAGATAGGAACAGTCCTTCGTCTACCGGTACACCCATCATGCTTCTGAAAACCCCAAAATGTTCATTTTCCTGAATTACTTGTTTGTTTGTTTCCCGAGAAAATTTATAAACGTAAAAGAACGTAAACCAATATCATATGTATTATATAAACTTACAGGCCAGGGAGCTTCTCTGCAGTGGCATCTCTTATTGCTTAAGCTGCTCATGCTCTCTGGGGTACGCAAATGTGTCGAAGATGTACTGCAAAACATGAATGGCATGAAATGTTAAATATCGTATTCGAATATGTTTGGGACACGAGTATCTGAAAAACGGAATAAGAAGATGAGGTGGTAACCTGTTGTAGGGCCTCGCTTTTGATTTCCTTAGGAGGAATGTTGTGTTTGCCATTGAAAAGGAATTAGTTTTGTGGATTTTTTTTAGTCGATCTGCCAACTCGTTTATTTCTTCTTTTAATAAATAGTGTATAGGTAGAAGCATAGTTCGTAAACATCAACCAACTCCTCGTACAATGCGGCTTCAACCAAGCGTATTACTCGCCGTATCAATTTGAATAATTCAACTCCATTTGTTTTAATTTATTAAGCGTGATAATAACTGCGTTTTTACTTATAAACAGATTGAATGAACTGTTGGGAAATTGTAACACTTCCGGTACTGATAACTAGTATAGTTACAGACATTACATTAATTAAAATAATATAATTTTTTAATGACTCTAATAGTTTTATACTGATACTCGATAGGTCATCTAGAATGTACTAATGTGAAACTGCTCATTTTATCACCTACGTGCGTAAGTTAAACACACACTAAATATATAATTTAGTGAGGTATAATTAGACATGTATTTAATCATCAATATAATTTATAACATCAATATACTATAAGCAATATAATTGCCTAAACAATAGGCTGTAAATAAATTGAACATTCAGCGAACCGTTCGTGAACAGTGCGGCGGGAAGTTCGTTTATTTATTAAATGAACGAATATAAACAAGATTCTGTGTTCGTTTAATTAAATGAACGAACATGAACATAGGTCCCGTTCGTTCATTTACGTTCGTGAACGTTCGGTTATGTTCGTTTATGTTCGTTCGGTTATGTTAGTTTATGTTCATTCATTTATGTTTAACTCAATCTTCTTATATCAATTTTCTTAAATCATTTTGGTGACCAATTTGTAAGTATCTTAAAATATTAATTAATCTGATATTCTGATGACCAACTCCATAATTAATCCAATTTTATTTAGAGATTAAATCCAATATGTTTAACCCGTGAGGCACCTCACACCTATATTCATTTCTCCTTTTTTTTCCCCCAAACCCTAGTTCACTGAGAGGAGACAATCGCTGAAAGCTTCAAAACAAGTTATATTATAGTGCAATCTGAAGTTTTAAGATTTGTTTCATCTCTTTCTCTGTTTTATTTGGCTTAATAGTTGATATGTAAAGTTATTGCGGGTATCTTCACATCTAAACTCAAGAAAATATCATACTTCTTTCTAGAAATAGATAGGAAGATAAAGGTAACAATCAGAAGTATATGCATCAGTAAAGAGAAAAATATAGAATTTGCCAGAAAACAAAATAAGGTTTATGCAATTTATGAAAATAGTGTAATAGCGGAAGTAATGAGTTTTCCAGGAAGAATCCATTATAAGTATAAAATACCACTTTGACAATGAATTTTTGTTTTCATAGTTTGTGTGATCTTTAGTTGTGGAGTAGACTTTAGGTACGTTAAAATTTAAATGGTGGTTTAGCAATAATCAGTTATGATATGTACATCGAAGGGATTTCGGATCTATGTTATTGCCTTGTAGTCTAATTGTATTCGAAATATTCATGTTGTTAAATTTTCTACTTGCCAACGGAAATGACCATTATAACAAACCTCACTAAAGTAGACATTGATGTCACAAAACTTTAGCTGATAAATTTATTAGAATAAAGTAGTAGAAAATGATTGTTCATATGTAATCATAGACACTAAGATAAATGTTAGCGTTAAATTAAGTCGTGTGAATCATTTAATATCTTTAAAAGATAGATCAAAATATTTGATATCTTCAAACATTTCATCACTGCTAATAAACGCTTACGCTATTTATCACTGTAGATTTGGTTGATTTGTATTGTCGACTATTTTTCATGAAAGAACAATGGAAGGTAGGGTCTCCATCGTTTATGTTCGTTTATATTTGTGTTCGTTTATGTTCGTGTTCGTTTATTTATTAAATGAACATGAACAAGTATATTCCTTAATAAACGAACATGACAAAAAAATTTATTCTTTATATTCGTTTATTTATTAAATGAACGAACATAAACATACATCCGTTCGTGTGCGTTCGGTTCGTTTACCGTCATACTAAACAACACTAACGGAGCTGGCATGTGTTAAGGGATGTCAATTGACACCCCCCAAAAGTTTGTAAACTTTTTTTTCGTACAAATTATATATATAATATAATATAAAAGAAAAAAATATCCTTTTTAAAAAGGTTCTGACACTCTTTAACAAATAAATGGATCTTATACTTAAAAAAATATTTAACAATAAAAATTTTAAAATTTAATTTTCCCACTTTTATTTCCATATAATTTTTAAATTAACGCCCCAATTTTTTTTTAGCTCTGCCCTACTAAACAACATAACCATAAAGGCCTATTTTTTCATTTCCTGAAACTATAAAATCTGTAACTTGTGAATAATATGTTTATTTCTTTAAATTCTCAAATTAATATAAAAGGAACAAGTTAAACGAATATAGGATGCAATCATCCAGATGAATGAAATACGATACATCACCCCGAAGGATGAAATAGTAATACTGTGCATTATCTCATATAGTAACAAATCCATAAAAATATTATTGGCTGGGCTAATATAAATATAATAAAAAATAATCTAATAGGAGTATAATTCACATATATAATCTTTCAATTTAAATTTAATAACTAAAATAGGTGTAATTAAATGTTCCAAAAAAACTTTAGAATTTATGTAGAAAAAATATATAGTCTGAAATAGAATATTTTCATCAATTAAGATGAATTCTCATTTTCATAGAACCAAATCTATCTATGATCGAGATAAAAAAAATATTTTATAATTATACATACTATATATTTTTTCATATTTTTCATATATAATTTACATATGCCATACAAAATCTTGAGATTAACTCAAACTTGAAAATCAATCTACTAGTTGCTAAAAATTTCAAATAATTCAAGTTGTATTTTACAACTCAAATTGAACTTGAAATTTTTTCAAATCGAGTTGAATTTATAAAATTACAACTAAAAATTAATTCAAGTCGAGTAAAAAAATAAATTTTTCGTATCGAGTTTTACTCCCCATGAACAAGTCAAAAATTATAGTACTTTGTAATTTACAAACCAAATAGCTACTCAAGTGCAGTGTCGTTGGTTCAAATAGCGGCGTTTTCTAGTTGAACACGCAAAACTACAAAAGCTCCATTACCGGAGCACCGAATATGGATAAATTTACTTGGGATTTCTTAGAACATAATGACAGAATCTCCCCTAAGGAACATCTTGCTGATGAATCTGTCCTTGTTAACCGGAAGAGCCTTCTTCTTGCCTTTCCATTTCGGTACCTATCGAATGGAGGAACGATTTAACCTTTTTAATTCAACTGTAATGGAGACTAATGTTATTATGAAGGCACACAAAAGAAGGAAACGAGAAAATACCTCTGTCCACATTTCCCTGACATTTTCCAAAACCATGTTGCAGTGGCGGTCGAATGCTCTCACCCGCCCTAGAAGTTTTTTGTTTCCGACAGTTGATGAGAACCTGGTTCCATATTAAATTGAATTCAGTTCTAATAAGCACGTTGTCATTAACATGTAGATAAGCATTGCTAGGGGTTCACAAGATTAGTTCATTACCTGAGTGTTATTTTAACACTCATCATCAGAACGGATAGTGGTCCGGTGTTAAATTCCTCTTCCTCATTTTCACCGTCTGCAGACAGGTTAGCGAGCAATAGGCAGATATCAGCGAACATATATATAAAAATACAATGAAAATAAGCATTCTTTTGGTTTCAATGAAGAGGAAATAGGTGTTTAAGTCAACTTACATCATCTTCCATTGGCCGACTGCAAAAAGCAAAGCAATCGAAAGGGAAAATTAGTATATGATAAATGAAATGCAACAAGCAAACCTTTTAATACAACTAAATGAACAAAGCAAATGAAGAAGAAAAGATTTAACAATTAGTACCTCATTTTCAACTACGAAAGCTTTCAGTGCTATCTCTCAACAACCCAACACAAAACCTGCAAAAAGAATGCAAACACCATTAAGACGCCAGAAATTCAAGAAACTCTCAGTACACTTGAGACCATATACCACATGATAGCTTATCAAAAGAGTTGTTGAATGTGAAAATGCATAACCAAACAAGCACTAAAAAAATTGCCCAAATGGAAATGACATTATTATGATTCGCTGCAAATTCACAATGAGCAAAAAATAACTAGTATTTGTTGAAACCTAAGCAGAACCAAGATTTCAAAGATTTAAACAATAAACTGAAAATTAAAACAAGGCCGGTTCAGTTTTCCTCTTAGTTTGTTTGCATATGTAAACTATCAAAGCTACTGAGCACAAGGGTGAACAACAGACATGGCTATGTTAAATCATATCTCCATACCCATGTCTGAATATGAATTAAACATGAACTTCAAACAAGGGTATTAATGGAAATGAAGAGTAGGACAACATATGAAACAAAGTCAACAAATACATAGTATATTGAAAAGTCTTCTGAAACTCTTCAGCTCAGGTCTCCAAGAATTTTCAGCAATTATTAGCTCAGGAGAACGAAAGTTTTTTCATAGTAAACATCATCAGAGTGACAGAAGAACTTCAGTGCCTAATAACAAAAGGACCAATTACAAGCGAAGGTAAAAAAAACCCTAAAAGCAAAGTAAATTACTTTTCCAAAACCCTAATTGAACAAAAAAAAGAGCTAATTTACTACAGCCTCTTCAGTTCAGGTCTCCAAAAATTTTCCGCATGGATTTTGTCGGAAGAACGAAAGTATTCATTTTCAGTCATCCTCAAAGGCATAAATGAAAAGAGAAGAAAATAATCAATAAAACACAGCACATAAAAAAAAGTGAAAAAAAACTACAATGTCTCTTCAGCTCAGGTCTCCATATAGAATTCCGCAAGGATTTTTCTCTCAGAAGAACGAAAGTTTTTCAAATTCAATCATCATTAGAGACGTTTTGAGAAATCATTACAAATTTGAAACCCTAACAGAAAAACTAGCTAAGGAGAACAGTGAAAAAGCAAAGTAAAGAGCGGAAATGGAAGAAGAGATTTACCTGATTAGCGCTTGGACGATGATCTGATTGAGAAAAGAAGCAGAGTGAAGAGCTGTTTTATAGAATCCTTTCGGTACTTGACGCAGCAAATAAAAACCAATGGACATTCCAAATTAGGTTTTTCGGTGTTGGGCTTCAAACTCCTATATAACCCCAGAATACGGATGATTTCGGCTTTTGGGCTATAATGTTTTATTTTATGGAGTTTAGATTTGTAAATAATTCGTAAGACAAAGATAAGTCAAATGTGTTTTTAAAAGAGAAATCGCAGTGACCAAAAAAAGTTATAATATACGATTTTAACCAACTTTTTTTGGATTTGCCAAAATGACCAACAAATCGCAACGCGAAATAAAAATCGCAACGCGATCCCCAGAATCGCAAATCAGTTTCCAGATCGCAAATCAGTTTCCAAAATCGCAACGCGATTCTTGAAAATCGCGATGCGATAGTACAAATTCGCATTGCGATTTCCAAAATCGCAACGCAATATGAAATCGCAACGCGAACACTAAATCGCAACGCGTCCGTAAATCGCAACGTGTATCCGTAAATCGCAACGCGTATGGGTAAATCGCAATGCGTATCCGTATATCGCAACGCGTATCCGTAAATCGCAACGATAATACATAAAAATCGCAACGCGTATCCGTAATCGCAACGCGATATTTAAAGCGCCATTTATAATCGCTACGCGTATTTTATTTCAAATTACAAAAAGAATATTAAGACAAAATCCCGTAATCGCAACTCATAACCTAAAACCTAAAATCACAACTCAGTCCCATCTCCATCTCACTCTCTACGGCGAAGAAATCCGTCCCCATCTCCGAAGATTTCCGTCCCCATCTCCGGCGAAATCCCTCACAACCATTCACGGTCAGAAATCCCTCACAATATCAGAAATGGAAATCAACCTCCGAGGGTTAGTTTTTTTAATTATTTTTATTTTGAAATGTTTGCATTATTGTAGGTTTCTCATATTGAAACTGATGATAAGTTACTGGTCATTTCAATATAGATTAACCATTTCACTTAGATTTCATTTCGCGTTACGATTCTGTCGTTGCGATTTTCATTTCGCGTTGCTATTCTCTCGTTGCGATTTTCAAGTTAGTATTTGTCTTTGTCTTTGTTCTGTCTTTTGGTTGAAGTAATGCAATCCATTCAAGTTTCAATTTGCAGAAGAGTCGCAACGAGATAAATGAAAATCGCAACGAGAGAATGACTGTCGCAACGAGAATCGCAACGCGAATGGAAATCGCAACGAGAGAATCGCAACGCGAAACCAAAATCGCATTGCGATTTTCATTTCGCGTTGCGATTCTCGTTGCGATTTTCATTCGCGTTGCGATTCTCTCGTTGCGATTGTCATCTCGCGTTGCGATTCTCTCGTTGCGATTTTCATTTCAACCAAAAGACAAACAGTGTTGCAAATTTTAGTTTCAAGAATAAACTACTACTTTTTATGTTTATGTTTTGGTATATCTTCACAGTGTAGTTTTTGGTATATCTAACTTGGTATGTTTATTGTTTTGTAGAAATTTTTTCGGCTCAATTGACCTTGAGAATAAGTCAGCCTGGCCACTACAATTGCCAAAGAAGCTTTCACCTGCTCAAAGACAATTGTTTGAGGAAACCTGCTTCGGGCCATGGCTGAGAGTACAGCATCCGGGTGGAGATGCTAATTTGACCCATTTGTGGCTTCAGACCATGACATCAATCTACCCGACAGTATACAACGTGGTGAGGAAGAGATATGGTTTCATTTTCCACCAGCGTATACTTGCTTTGGGCGGAAGGAGTTTGCTTAATCACTGGTCTACGATTCAGACACGATGATGTAGGCCGGTACACTCGTCATATCGCCCGCCCATCATGGTTTCCCGGTTTTTCCGGATGAGTCAATGGAGAAGCCGAACCTACATGTCGACGACCTGAAGAAATTATTTAATAAGAAAGCTGGTTTCACTCGGATGGAAGACGTCGATGTTGTCCGAGTATGCCTTCTACTACTTGTGTATGCCGGCTTTTAGGCAGAGAGGCCAGACAACCTATTCGGGAGCTATAATATGTAGAGGACCTGAATGCATGGAATCTGTTTCCGTGGGGTTCGTATATATGGAAAGCTACCTGGACTAAGTTGTCGTCTGCCTTTGATGACCGCAAAAGTTTGCGGGGCGATGGGTCCAAATACACTTTGTCAGGCTTTGTTGGGCCTTTAAGGTAGAATTTCTATATAATGTTTCTAAAAATTATAATTTTATTTAACAATTACTAATTTTGTTATTATATTGTTTGTAGATTTGGAATTCGAGGCTTTCCCCGCATGCGTACATATGCAATAAAAACGTCAAATGATATTCCCAGGCTATTTCCTGGAGGAAAACTCTGTTGGATTGGGAAGACTTAATACCATATGCCACAATAAATAATGTAAGTTAACACAATACTTTATATATAAACAAGTTATTAATAGTAGACGTTTAACTTTGTTTGAGTTTTTATATTTAGGAGGCCAACATTCCATTACAAAGACTGTCACCCACGGAGGAAGAGCTTGCCACTGATTGGTGGCAAGCTAGTCAGAGTTTTTTTGATGGCACGGATGATGAGCAGCATCCACTTCCTCCAATTCGAGAGCCATCACCTCACCTAGAGCCATCACCCGATCGTGACGACTATACACCTCTAGAACGAGAGCCATCACCTATCCCGTCACATCATCGAGCCTCTTCTCCACCATCACCTCATGATAGGCGACGGCAAAGATGCCACGACTCCTATCTCCATGTTCTCCACCTCCACCTCAACGGGATGAGTCAAGGGAGTTTACGTGATGAGGTCAATGCCTTGCGTGAGGAGATCGGTACTCTACGCGATAACGATGGTGCATGGCGTGTGGAGGTGTCAACTTTACGTGGTGAGGTGCCGCTCTACGTGAGATGATAGTATCGTTTGCAGAATGAGGTTCATACTCTACGCAACGAGGTAAGTTTAGATTTTCCATATTTAACTTAATGATAAATTTACTCGTAATTTCACTTAGATTAGCCATTTCACTTAGATTGCTTAGTAAATTTATTCGGTTGCTGCCAATTCTGCTAAACTGTGTATTCTTTAACACTGTGAAATAGTATTTGTCTTTGTTTGTCTTTTGGTTGAAGTAAATTTGTTCGGTTGCTGCCAATTCTGCTAAACTGTATTCTTTAACACTGTGAAATATATTGTCTTTGTTTTGTCTTTTGGTGAAAGTAATTTGTTCGGTTGCTGCCAATTCGCTAAACTGTGTATTCTTTAACACTGTGAAATAGTATTTGTCTTTGTTTTGTCTTTTGGTTGAAAGTAAATTTGTTCGGTTGCTGCCAATTCTGGCTAAACTGTGTATCTTTAACACTGTGAAATAGTATTTGTCTTGTTTTGTCTTTTGGTTGAAAGTAAATTTATCCATTCAAGTTTCAATTTGCAGAAGAATTTATAGTTTACTTTCGCAACACGAAATTAAAATCGCAACGCGAAACCAAATCGCAACGCGAAATGAAAATCGCAACGACAGAATCGCAACGCGAAACCAAAATCGCAACGACAAGATCGCAACGCGAAACCAAAATCGCATTGCGATTTTCATTTCGCGTTGCGATTCTTTCGTTGCGATTTTCATTTCGCGTTGCGATTCTGTCGTTGCGATTTTCATTTCGCGTTGCGATTTTGGTTTCGCGTTGCGATTTTAAGTTTCGTGTTGCGAAAGTAAACTATTTCTTCTTCTGCAAATTGAAACTTGAATGGATTGCATACTTCAACCAATAGACAAATCAAAGACAATACTAACTTCAGGGTATTAGTTTGAAACATATTTTTCTTTGTTATCTGATGCATTTGTGAACTATGATGAATAATGATTGGGTGAATACAATGCAAGTTTGAAACATATTTGTCTTTGTTTTCACTGTTTAAATATCATGTCTGTTTATTTACTGATTTTTGTATTTAATTATTTAGCGGCCCGATAGAGTGGATGCTTTACGTCGGGTTATGCTTGCACGACGGAGTTCACGCATCAGACAGCGTGCACGTGCTATTAAGTCTCCGTACACCCCAATAGTGCGAAGACACCGCAAGAAGAAGCCCGACTCGCCTGTCATCCCTCAAGAGTCCACCTATCGTTGAAGAGGCCCCCCATATCATTCCTCGAGAGTCCCCTCCCACCGTTCAAGAGGCAACTGTCATCGTTGAAGAGGTCCCTCCCACCATTCCAGAGCCCGATTCACATGGGGTAATATATCGAAGTATTGAGAAACCCCCACCGGTTCCGGACATGATGGATGAGAGTTGGCTCTCGTATGAGTTACCGGCCAGTACCATACCGGTATCTGAAGAGGAGAGGGAACAACTACGGACACAATTTTGGATAACACCCTTTGGGCTAAGACCGCAGTTGATTTTTATCTACATGAGCGGAGCAAGGGGTGTTTCACTGACATATGCAAGCTCACCGATGATATCTTTTTGTTGCTTGAACGGCCTT